TTATTCGCCGGCCCATAATCGGGGACCTCAAACTAAAACTTTCTGATGCGAGTTGACGCATGCTCATAGGCATTTTACGCGTGCGCGCAAGACATTTATGACTGCGCATATGCGTCTGCGCAAGCGCAGAATACGTTTTCGCATGCACGTTTAATATATAACGGACGGTATAAGCTAAAATTATCTAATTATCTATTTCAGTTAATGTTGATGATTTCGTTGTTCCTTAATCTATGAATTGGATCCGGCTTATTATTTTTTGCAGACTGGTAGAGCAATTTTAATAAAAGTAAGCTTGAACTTTCGATTATGTCAAATAGAATTTCCGATGCTGGAGCTCCCAAAGGATCTACAAAACGAAAGTATGTTTCGATGTCCATCAAACAAAAAGTGGAATTGCTGCAAAAAATGGATAAAGGCATATCCTTTGTTTATCTAACCATTCCGAAATCTTTTTATCAATTTCACGCTGCTCTGCGCGTGGGGGAGGGAGGGGAACGTCGCGGCGCGCAATGAACTGGAAGTTAATCCATCAGCACTATCGTTATCTTCAGGGCAGATGTTTTTATTTTATTCGCCTTATAATTCCTTTCTAAATGTAGTATTTCATCTCAATGTACTCCGTCTTTGATATGATTTAAATCAAATTCCTCGTCATTATAAATTTCACGAATACAAATCAAATAGTTTTCTGGTTGCAATTTTCTAATTTCGGCTATGCATAATGTATGCTTTACGCATGCGCGTGTTGGGAAGAAATGTTTAATAAAGTAAATAAATAAATACAGTAAGACCCCGCTTAACGCGGGTGATACGTTCCATCAAAGTAGAGCGTAATGTGAAACAGCACTAAACGAGGCTATCTTTACATGTAAATATTGGGGTTAGGGGAAGATGGTTAGGAAATTGGTTAGGTATTAAATTTAAAAAGTATGTTTTTTTAATAAAAATAAAACCAAACATTTATTTCTTAAAGCCCAAATTAATACCACATTATTATTTCTTGCAAAAATAAAAACAAAATATAAATAACAAAACGAATATTCTTAAAAAAAAACAAATAAAATTCTCAGTCAGTCATATTTAGTTAGCCTTCTGCGTTTTTAGTGTTCTGCCTTTTTGTGACAAAAGCATCTAATGTTGTTTGCCTTTTTCTTTTGCGTTGTTCTCTTAAAAGTTCTTCACAAACGGATAGAGCATCTCTAACACCACGCCTTACTTTTGAGCTCCTGTCAAAATACGGATCATTTTCAATGAATTGATCCATTATTTCGGTTATGGTAGACAAACTCCTTTTTACAAACGCCATCGAAAGTTCTTTTTGCTCTTCTTCTGAATCACTGCTGTCAACATTTTTGTTTTCTTCTTGTTCAGTTAATTCCTTGAGCTCATCATTAGAAAGACTAGCCCGCTGCTTCTTGAATTATTTCTTCGACATCTTTCCACATTTACCCCTTCAAATATGTCTGTACAATACCGCACCAAACAAGAAATACAAGTACACTCTTTCGGATATGTATTTGAAACCTATCGCTGCATAATATTTCGGGGAATCCCCGTATGCTGCGAGCGATTTCGTGGAATCCCCGGGTTGAAATAAAAGAGCGCTAAACCGAAACAGCGCTAAACGAAACAGCGTTAAGCGGGGTCTTACTGTATTAAGCTTTTTTTTTGTAAATTTTGATACCCGTTAGATCATAATTGCTCATTATTTTATAAATTACGGTTTCATATTTTTAATTTTATAATTTCTGCATGCCATTTTACCAGATTTAAACTGATGATCTATAATCCGGAAAAATCGATAATCCGGAATCGCCGAAGTCCCGACGAGTCCGGATTAAAGACTTTTGTCTGTATATCACTCTCTTACACTCTCGCCATTGTGACATACCATCGGCGTCATCTTGTTACTTCCTGAAATTTGCATATGATTCTTGAAGATGTGTGTAGTGATTTTACAGGTGATATATTTATTTTAGAGTTTGATTTCCGCGTGACTCCGAATTATCCTTAATTTATGGACATGAGTGTAATAATTTCATTAAATAACATGGAACTAATAAAATACTAAATTAATAGATAAATTTGCAAATTTAGTATATACACATAATACCATGGTCTTAGTATACTATTTATATAATATACACTTTGGCCATAGTAACGGACCATAGAGGTTTTTTCAGGCATGTGTTGGTTAAATTCACATTGTCCCCTGAATGGTTTTAAATTTTCATCAGTTGTCACATATTCACCTGCAGTGTAGGCTTTCAGACAGTTCTCAATGAATTCTTCGAAAAACTTTCTTAGGAACCCAATTTATCCACATCTCTTCTACTCGGACAATCTCGGGTATCTCAAACTGAAGGCATTTTAGTAGGAAAAGGAATTGCTTGCAGGGCATTGTTTTGTGGAAAATATCTACTCCAGTTCCTCTGTTGCCTGTAGATCTTTTACATTGATGTGAGAGGATTTATGAACACCACGTATGTACGGAATTTCCAAAAGTGCTTTGATTTCACATTCATTCGTTTTCTCTGCATCGTGCTGACATACAAACCGCTCCTAAATAGAAGCAATTTAAATATTTTTAACTACCATTTCTATCATGTCTTTGTTGATGAGCAGAGCCAAAGAATCTAACAGTGTTGATCCATCATTTGAATAACTCGTATTTCATGGAATTTTGAAGATAATGTTTTTAAAACTAGCCCTAACATTCATTTGGAATGTGTTTTTCTTTCACATCAGAAGATTTTTGTCAACATAATTTTCATCATTTGATTCATATTCTAGTTTACTGTCTAATTCAAGGTAAATATTCCTATTGTAGGGTAATAATTCCTATTTGCGATTCAAGGTAATAATTCCTATTTGCTTAACAATTAATCTTTCGTTGGAATGGTTTCTAACGTATTTTTCAGTCTTTCTATTTCTTTATCATAAATCAGATGCCTCACCATGCTGACTAAGCGAGTGAGGATGAAAATCTGAGGGACGCGAGAAGGCATATGCATGTCACATACCCCGAGGGTACTATTCCAAGAATCACCTTGCGGACTTTCCAGCTTCAAGAATATGACCTTGAATTCGGCTATAAATGGCTTTGTCCATTTCTAGTAAAGGGGGTTGGGTATAAATAACAAAGAATATGGCCCTGGGTATGAGATACCGGCACACATGCGTGCTCACAGTTTAACAGTCCACACTGAACAATTGACATTTTGCAAGACTTTAGAGTGGCCCTTTTCAATTTCTGAACCACATTTTTAATGTTTTCAAAATGCTCTTCAAATCTTTTCTTGATGGTGATGATGTCATCCAGATACATCAGGAAGGCTTCGCCGAGAAAACCTTTTTGCCAAGGTGACGGTGAGGTGTTGGAATGTTGCTAGTGCAGTGCACAATCCAAATGACATGACCTTGAACTCCTAAATCCTAGTCCAGTAGTAAATGCTGTTTCTTTCTTAGTCATCAAGGTTTATCTCTACTTGCCAGTATCCACTCTTTGAATCAAGTGTAGAAAACCACTTGCTTCCAAAAACAGTGTCCAGAATGTCATCAGTTCTAGGAAGAGGATAGCTTCTTTCTTTGTGACCTTGTTCAACTGGCAGTAGTCGATGTAAAATCTGGTTCACCATTTAGAATCAATATTTACCATTTAGAAGATGGTAATGATCACTGCAAACAAGGCAGGAAATAATTTCAAATGCAATGACTGTAAATCGTTGAAAAAGGATTTGTATGAATGTACGTATATGCATGCTGTCCACTGTAGTGAACAAACTGTAGCAATTATTTTAAAACGAAATTTGAATAAAATTAATTTTTTTATTATTGCTATTTTAAGTAGAAAAAATACAAACATTTGCGTTTAACTTCGTCTAGATTATTTGTATGCAACAAAAGGTTAAGATCATGTAGAGATGGGGTTGCCAAGTTGTCGATCACAAGCTACACATTTATCCTAACATATTTGTGTTGATTATGAACTATGCAACTATTACGTGATTAGATATTTATTTCTTTCCCCCTCCCCTTGTGGATCAGTAGATCGCAGCATTGACTATCGTTATTAGTTTCTTTACGTAGTGGCTGCAGTGCTAGCAAATTGTTTCCAGAGAACATTAAACCTATAAGGTTTGCTTATGTAATATCTGCACATTGATTTTTAGTAAGGATGCATTGAAAAAATGTTGATATCTGTAATCGCTGCATAAACCTTTTTGTTTTTCAGTTGGTGCATGAGAAATACACTTTGTGTGTGCTTGTGTGCTCATTTGTGATGATATAAATGGTAAATTTGTTTTAGGTAATGTGTTTAAAAAGTAATCTGAAAAAACTACTATTAAATGCATGTGCTTCCTTGCCTATTTTAAATAAAATAAATCAGAGCTGTGTAGGTATGTACATAAAAATTTAGAGTTTGTTAATAAAGAAAATGGGTCCCAAAATGTGGATTACATTAGAGTTTTTGTTGGGCTGTGTTAACCTTTTTTTAATCATATAATTATATGTATTTACTTGTAATTAATATACTTATTTATAATGATTTATTCATTGTTTAATAGTGAAATGGTAATCTGCTATTATTTCATTATCACATCAGAAATGCCATTTATTTTCTCCTTTATGTTTCAGAGTCACTATGCGTGTAAATTGCAAAATAAAAAAAAGTTTTCAAAACGCCGGTATAAAGCATTCAATTATTAGTATTTTCATTTGTTATTTTTTCCTCTTCCTTCAAGAGCTATCCTGAACTTCCTATGGAGGAGTAAGTTCAGATTATGAAATTTAGGAACTGAGTGACTCGTGTAATAGCTAATTTGCATTTAGATTTTTTGGACAGAATGTGTGGACATTGTATAAGCATATATGACAATTTATTTTGGAACATGAGAAAAGTGTGCTGTAGGTTTTTTTCCCTATTTGTTTTTAGTTGTTAAGAAAAAATGCATTTCAATCAGCGAGAATGTATTTTATATTTTATTCCATTTTAGGAAGGAACAGAAGGCGCTCAGTTGCCTATTGGTGGTGAAATGCCAATGACTACTGGAGATGCTGCTGAATCTAAACAAAAGAAAGGAGCAAGGAAAAGGAAACCCAAAGAAAATGATGGAGAACCAAAAGAACCTAAACCGAAAAAGCCCCGGAAAAAGCCTGTGAAGCAACCAAAGAAATCAAAAGAAGAACCACCTAGTGAAGCTGTTCCAAATGATGGAAATAACAATAGTATTGAAACCACAGGTGATGTAAATAAACCAGGGGAATCTGTGCCTGCAGGTGATGCAGTGCCAAATGCAAATGTTGAAAATGAGTCTAAAGAAAATATTGAAACTGTTGAAAAAGATGTGAAGGATAAAAAGCCAGCTAAATCAAAATCATCAAAAACACCTAAAGATGGTGTACCTAAAGAGCCAAAAAAGACAACTCCAAAAAAGAAACTCCCCAAGTATATAATTTTTTATTTTTGAACAGCATTTCCTAGTTTCCTTTATTTGCATTTGTTAAGACTGTGTATAGAAATAGAAAATAATATTTTAAATTAGCTGATTGAATGATGCATATTATAAATATTTGAACAGTTATTATTATTATTTTTTTAGTTTTGTTTTTAAAAATATAATTACATGCATGCCAACGTGTGTGTATATATATATTTTGTTAGAGTAACACAAGTGGCCCAATAAAGGTATTCTATGTTGAATAATTACATTGTTTAAAGATAAAATAATCCCCCAAGTGTAATACTGTGCATAGAAACTACATATTTGCCACTAATTATTGTAGGCATGTCTAGTTTAGCAATTTCAGTTTTAAGCTAGTATTCATTATACTGATTGCTGGCATTCCTGAAAACAAATGCATAGTAATTAGGGATGTGTAATTTTCTAATTGAGGGGGTTCACATTTATTTGAAGAAACAGTTAAGAAATTTGAATCACTGTTTCTATTATAAAATAAAATACTTCAATAATTAAAAAAGAAAATAATCATGTTTCATTAGCAGTTACAGTTGTTGATTCATCTTTTAATATTCTGTTATTGCATCTTTCTTGGAATAGTTGTGAAATGGTGTATAATGTACTGACATCTAAAAGCATCTCTAAAAGAAAGGTTGTCTGAACCAGGCACATATTCTGCGTAATAATAATATATAACTCAGTGATATAATTTATGTAGTGAACTGTTAGCTTTAAAACACATTTTGCTTTATCCTCGACAACTTCTGATTTGTTTTTGTTCATTTCAGTTTTATGACATTTTTGCATTTGAATGCCAATTCCTGTTTGCTATTTTTAATCATAATACATTATCCTCATATTTAATCCCCATACAGCTCAAAATTTATTTATTTTGTGTTTGATATGTGGTGTTATTTTATACATGCATGAATGAAATGTATATGATTGTAAAATCTATAGGGGTGTTTACATATTTTTAGAATGACTTTGGGGGCTGTTTAATTAATGTTTAAAGTGCTAAAACGTGTAAACGCCTTCTATCCGTATGTGTGTCTATAAATATTGTTTCATAATAAAGTAATTAGTAAAGTTAAATAAAATTAAATAATTCTCTTATGCCATTGCTTCAAGGAATGAAATTTGAGTTTAACAAATACAGTATCATTATCTCGTTCATATAAAGCTAATTAAAATTTTAAATTATGAAAATTCGATTCAAACAAATAAAATGATTAATTATTACTGCAAATTAATTTGCAACATCATTCAAATTCAGAAAGCATTAAGTAAAATAGTGCAACCATTTAAGTACATGAAAAAATATATAATAATCCAAAAATTTTTAAAAACTGAATTAATTTGGAATTTATATTCATTAGCAAAAAAATCGATTACAGATTTGTGTAGAACTGTTCACTTCTATTGGAATACCTCTCACCTTCTGAAAGATCTTATTATTAAAATTAATGTAGTTATTAAATAATGCGCAATGCAATGTTTTCCATTTGTCAATTCAAAGGATGCTTAGCATGCCATGGAAATGTTATATACAGTACAAAGTCCAAAATCCATATGTCCATTATCGAGAATGATCTAAAATCCTGACCTCAAAACCACCAACAAAAGTTTTCTCGTAGGCTTACGCATACTCATTTAATTTCCCCTTCCACGCATAATAAAACATCTGGAGAGTCCCGATTCTTAATTTCACTTCAACACTAAATAAAATGCCTTGTTACTTAAGAAACAATAATTTTAGCTTAAGTTTGTATGAGCAGTAATTTGACTCCATTGCTGCGTATTTGCTTGGCACACATCCTCAAACCGAAACATTCCACATAGATGCATTGTTGATCTGACAACAACCTGGCGAATCATTATTTGTATACTTTTCCTTTTATTACCGTATGTTTATCAAAAGATGAAAACTTGAGTAATGACTCATGTAGCGATGCCTAAACAATTTTTTTTTATGTTAGCATTTGAATAATAAAGGAGTGTGGCAATGATTACAGATTTCAGTTAAATGTTGACGAGGAAAAATTTACCAAAAATTTCTTTCCATGAGCTCAAATAGATTTTATTGATGATACTTATGGACCCAAAGATTACATTTAGGGCTATTTGAATTAAGAATAGCTGATTTGTTATTCACATAAACCCAGAACCAGTGCCAGTTCTCCTATGGCCGTGCCGAGTCGCAGAATTTAGGACCCACAGAGACCGCATCAGGCGGTAAGATATCTAGCGCTGGCCCTCAATAAAGCTTAAGTATATGTGGGAATTTATTATTCAGAACTCAAGCCTTAAGCATGTGCAAGAAATAGACATAAGTATAATAAATAACTAAACTGATACAATTCAGGCTTAATTGTCTCAGTGCGCGAAGCAAGCTAAAATTTAACAGAACAACTTGTCGTTAGTCGCCAAGCTCATGATGCATAGCCAAATACGTATAGTGAAGGATAGCTAAATTTGATGATGACAGCCACTAATTTTAAAGGTTTTCTAATATTGTAAAACACAAATGAAATTTTCCATTTAATGGATTTTGTAAAGAAATGTGGAGAAGCAGTAATAAATGAAGATGATGTAAAAGAAGTTTTCATTGTGATAACAGTGCTTCTCAATCATCAATCAATTAATGAATGAATGGAGAAATCTGTAGTATTGTTCTAGATCCAGAAAATATCGCTACCAATAATGACGAAGCTGACAGAGAAGTTACTGAAAACGAGAAAATTTTGATTGACAAGTTAGTCACAATCCTCGAAACAGCAGTTACAGGACTTCAACAATGTAACTAAACAAAAGATTATCTCCGTCTACAGAATTAAAGAGAAAGTATTAGCACAAAAAACGAAGTAACTTGAAACAACTTACATTGAAAGAAATGTTTAATAAGGTAAACAAATAAATATTAAGCTTTTTTTTTTTTTTGTAAATTTTGATACTCTTTAGATCATAAATACTTCATTATTTCATAAATCGCGATTTCATATTTTTAATTTTATAATTTCTACATGCCATCTTACTAGATTTAAACTGATGATCTGTTATCTGGAAAAAATCCCAAATCTGGAATCGCCAAAGTCCCGATGAGTCCGGATTTCGGACTTTGTACTGTATATATATATATATCTTGCAGCAGTGGCGCAAGAGAATTATTTAAATTTAATGTAACTTTACTTTTTTTCTTGTGAAACAAATTGGTAGTACTTACTAGCTTTTAGCGCTAATTACCTTGTTTGATTTCACATTTTCATTTTTTTTCAAATGGAACTTAGTTTAAATAGTTTAGTTTCCTTTTAATTTTTATTTCTTTGCAGTTAAAATTTCTTAATTAAATTTTATATTTGCTTTATACGAGTAAAGAATATTTGTTTTATATATATGCATATATTATATACAATATTGTTACGAAATGTACAGGCGCAGTAAGATGGCTTCCCCACAAAGCAGTTTTAGGGTTGCCATAAAATAGCAACGAAGGCAGGGTTGCCACATTTGGCAAAAAAATCTCCCATTAGGCAACAAAATTGGCGATATGCCGTGTACAGATGGAGAACCTTCTGGAACAAACTTACTGGTTACTTACCTTAACCCAGAATGTTCTCAAACACGAGCCGAAAGCTATATAAAACCTTTCTTGTCCCGCAGTCAGTTAGTGTGTGCCTTGTCGAGAGTGCGAGATAGTTGATCTCGAGTTAGTCAGTCCGCGTGGAGTTGATTGAGTTGACAGCCGGGCCGAGTGGGTCATTGAGTGCATCGAAAGAGTCTCTTAGTGTATCGTGGTTAGTGCATCATCGAGAGAGAGTGTTGAGCTCCAGGAATGACTGAACCAAAGAGTTGGGAGTTGTGCTCTGTGTGTCGTCGAGTGCATTGCGAGTTGTAGTGTGAAGAGTCTCGAGAGTACGTGGAGTTCCGAGAACGACCGAGCAGAGACGGGAGCTGTACTCTAGTGAAGCTGTCTGAACCCTTTTAGTCTGATAACCTGATGGCTGTGTCGCTGATTGTTTAGCGTGTTTAGGGTAGATCTTCGACGACTGTAAAAGTGTTTTGTAGCTGTTCTGATTAATATTGGCGAAATAAAGTGTGTTTCGATATTTCATCAAATAGTGTCATCATTATTCACTCCAAATCCATACGAACCCCGTACGAACGTAAAGGAAGAAAAAAAACGTAACTGGTGTCAGAAAAATAAAATGCAACAATATATATATATGCATGCATGCTCAGTAGGCCTCTATCATAATAAATTATTATTTTGGATTTTATGAAAATTTTAAATGTAAAGTGAATGTTTTATTGCCATTATATGAATAAATTTTATTTTTACTGATTTTGATCTTGCTGGCAATACAATATGAAGTAGCTCTGATGTATAAAATGTGCTTTGATAGTATAATATAAAATGACGTAGCAACTGATGATGATATGTATATGTACAACCTTATACATATACAACCTTATGTATATGTATATGTATTTTTTGTTTTAAACAGGATAGCTCTAAAATTCACTAGTAAGAAAAAGAAAAAGAAAGCTCTTACTGTATCTGATAATTCTGATATTGAGCGTACTCCTCCTCCATCACCAACAGAAAATGATGGTGTTACTGTAAGTAATTAAAAAAAAAAAAATTTTTTTTTCAAACTATAAATTGAGTATAATTTCTATCAGTAATTTGCATATAGTTTGTTGTATTAAATGTTATCGGCATTCAAGGTCATATTAAAAAATGTTAAAACAGCCATTCAATACAAAAGATTAGCAGACACAATTATTTTCTTTTCAGGTTGTTTTATTTATTTATTTATTTTAAATACAGAGTTGTTGGGACTGCATTTTGTGAAAAAGTTATTTTTGAATTTTCGCATAAGCATATAACTTATAACATCTTTGATTAATACATTCATTTTAATCGTGATCAATCCAGAAGACTTATTCAGAGTGAGCAGTATTTTAGGAATTAATAATGTATACTTTATTCATTTCAGAAACGCCGGTCAGCTAGAAATACAGAGAGGAAGAAATATACTGATGACATTGAATTACACTTGTCTGATGATGAAACTATTGAAATGGATTTTGGGCAATCTTCCAGACATGATGGAAAAATTGTTCAAGTTGTTGTGGTATGCACAATTCTGATAAATAATCAGATATACTGTATTTCATCACATATTTCCCCTCCCTTTTATAGTAATTTTATTGTCCCAAAATCGAGAGACTAAAATGTAGAGACTAAAATGTGAGTAATTTAATTTGCGAAGGATGCGTTTACAGTAAAAACATATCGAGTGAAAAGTAGTCATGTATAAACTACAGGTGACTATCACAATATTATTTCATTAAAATAAACTTTCATTCCAATAATCATACTTAGTAATCAGGGCTGTGGAGTCGGTAGAGAAAATGACCAACTCTGACTCCGGCTCCTGGAATTTTAAAGACTCCAACTCTGACTCCCTCATATATATATGTATGTAAACATACACACATGGGTTACAGCTTATTTTTTTAATGTAAAAGAAGTAATAGATGCCACAGAAAAAACATTCATGGCATAGGAAATTACTTATAATAATTAGCATTTATTATAAAATGGAAAAACTGGCATTAGTTATTTCTAAGAAACAGTATAGCTTCGGCAAGATCTTCTTTGTTGGAGAGCCATAGATCATATTTAATAAACTTCAGAGCTGAGAAGAGTCTTTCCTTTCTAACTTGAGTAGGAGGAAGAGCTGTTACTGTTAGGGCTACTTCTTTTAACTTTTCAGGATAGAAATTCTAAAAGAGCTGTCTTGCATACGCAATCATATTTCTCTGTTTCCTCAAAGGCCATGTAGAAATCTTGTTTGTATTTTTCATTTTTATATCTAAAGGCTTGGTTCTTTATTTTCATTCGCTTTGCCTTAGCCTTTTCAATATTATCCAAAAATATTTCTCAAAATCTAATTCATCACTGGAAGAGGATGATAGAGACTCAGTTGCAATGTCTGCAGTTTGACTGTTCTGATTCAAATTCCAATTGTTCTGAGAATAATTTCATTCTTAATAAAAGTTCATAGATGGCTTTCTTTGCCTTTCAAGTTTGTTTGTCATCCAAGAACATTCAGTGTTTCGGATGTACATATATTGAACCAAGCAAGATCTCATTGTCTAGCAAACTAGTTTTTCTTTTCTTCCACAGATTTATTGCAGAGGAAAGGATTCCTTCTGCAATAAACCCTTCATTTCAAAAAGAACAAACATCCCATTCTTCCATTCTCGCCTCCTGTCAATTCTTCGGATTGTAGCTTTTTTGTGCCTATATACGGTGTAGAAAGGAGAGTTTCCAATTTTGCAAGGTCATTCCACAGTTTTTCTGTTAGTGAAACATTAGGGTTATCTACATCTTCTAAAAAAGTTCTTAATTCTTATGACCTCTTTATCATTAAATATGAACTTCCTTATCATGTTGCTTGGTTAATAATTGCTCCTTTTCTTGCTCGCTTCCTAAGAATGGCATCAATTTTGAGAGTTCTTTCTGTTATTGCAGCTTACCTAAATTTATCGGTGAGATTTGTAACTAAATAAATCAGTTTAATCACTAATGGCAAATATCACATCCATCCTTCTCCCTTAAATGTATTTATTAATATGTCAATAAAATAGAAAATAACTATTTATTAATGTATATAGTTCATAAATAAAAATAATAACTCAGATTGTCATTAATTTTTTTCAATTCAGTTTAATTTCATTTCAAATTCAACAAAACTGGTCCCAGAAAAACTGGAGTCGGAGTCGACCTGTTTTTAGCGACTCCTTTTACCCCAAAATCTGCCCGACTCCATGATTCCGATTCCACAACTCTGCTGTCAACATCCACCAGAATGAAAATTAACGTATAAATAAGTTAAGTTAAGGTCAGTTACGGTATAAATAAGCTCAAATTTTGAAAATCAAGTAGCTTTGGGCAGCACTGACTGACAATCATTATTCTGCAAGTTGGATTTAATTTAACACCTTCAGCTTTGGCAAGCCATCTTTGCTTTGTAAATACTTAAGACTAAGCACTGTATTTCACATTCAGTGATTCAATTATGAACTTAACTAACTTATGAATAATAACTCAGATTGTCATTAATTATTTTCAATTCAGTTTAATTTCATTTCAAATTCAAACGGTCCAACAAAAGCTGGAGTCAGAGCCGACCCGTTTTTAGCGACTCCATCTCTGACTCCTTTTACCCCAAAATCTGCCCAACTCCATGACTCGAACTCCATAGCCCTGTTAGTAATATATTGTTACAATATCTAATAAGTTATAGCTTCATTTTTATGTCACTGTAACTTCTGTTATTATTATTTTTTTTAAATTTCTTGTATTCTCATTCTTGTTTCAGCTAATCCATAAGACTGAAATTATCATTAAATAGTTAGGAGAGGTGAATGAGCAGATGTCTTGGCAAATTCATAGACTATGTACGTTCCGTTGTTTAAAAATAGTGGACTGTAAATGGACTTGATATTACTTCAGTATAGAACCCAAGAAACCTCAGAGTCATAATGTTGACCGAAACTTCTTTATTGGCTTTCAAACAGTAAGTTGGTTGAGGAATGGCGAAGACCATACTGCAAACTCCGACTTCGGTAGCGGCTTACCACACAAACTCAGAAGAACCTTTGCTTAATTGAAACTCCAGTAATTCACAGCAACCTCAAAGCTCTAAACGCGAGCTTTAAAAGCCTAACAAATTTGCGTCTGCGCCGCTCCTCGGTACAAAGAAAGAAATACAATTTGCATAACATCGAACATACCCCCAGCCTTGAAGTCAAAGGGTCAAAAGTCAAGGGGGTTCAAAGAATAAATTTAAACTGTTGAACTGCATAAACCTGAAAATAAAAATTAAAGTCTCTAAATCAGGAATTAAAGCTTTGCTATAGGTCGTTTTATTTCATCATTAGAAGTGCGCAAACTCACCACTCGAACTTTCTCATCAAGACCAGGATACACTTTAGTAATTCTACTCAATTTCCAACGTAGCGAAGGTAGATTTTCGTTCTTAATAAGAACCATATCACCAATCTTCAGATCTTGTCGTGATTTGCACCACTTGGGTCTCTGCTGCAACCTAGATAAATACTCACTGCTCCATCTCTTCCTGAAATGTATCCAGAATTTTGGCCACCTCTGATAAAATAGTTCTCTTAGTAAACTCTTTATCACTTATGCATACCGAAAAATGAAATGTATCACTAGAGTTGCTCCAATTAATTCCCAATACCTTTACTTTCTTGTCACTGGTTATTTCAAGAGAAATACTGGATTCTCGTAAGCACTCGGGAATATTCTCTAAAATAGCTGAACTGTTTTGAAATCCACTTCCTTAAGCGGAATCCACCCCTTTTCATCATTTCATTCAAACTGCTGAACTAGAACATTCTCTTCCTCTTCACTTTGTGCCCCTGAAAAAGCAAAATCATCAACATAAAAATCACGAAGGGCAATTTTTTGATGCTAAAGGGAATCTGTTAATGGCGAAGACCGGTTTTCAATCAGTGCTAAAAGCAATAGCCAAAAAAGATTTTCCGCCGAAAAAATAATTCTGCAACTTATTCAAAATTCGAAAAACCGAAAGGGTTTAAATTGCTATTTTAATATTTTTAAAAACAAAATAATATAAAAAAACTGTATTAAAAATTATCTGTAATTAATAAATGTACATTTTCTTTCTATTCATACTTTTTTACTCAAACTTACAAAGCGCGCCAACCTGGTTTGCGATAATACGTAAGTACCTGAGTTTGCTTCTTGCTGGCACATACATGTGTCACTTGGTGTGAAAGTATTAAGGCTGATTTTTTTAAAAAAATTTTATTTATTATTTTATTTATTATTATTTTTTTTTTATGTTTGGTAACTGAACCAATCATTTTATCTTATGTCTCAGTGGTGAGTTGAATGTTTGGAATGGGGAAAATATTTTTATATCGTATGAGTGAGTATAAATGTTTTGTAAAATAAATGAATGATTCCAGGTTAAACGTAGAATATGTTGTCAACATACAATATTTAAATACCTTGATACAAGACATTCATTAAAAGACTATTTTCTGTAATAACATGTAGGGTTAGGAGAAATTCACATTAACTATTGAGTGAATGAAAAAAAAAAAACTTTGATAATTATAAAACAAAATCTAGGATTGAATGTGAAAAGTTTTGTAACAAAATTTGAAAAAAATCAAAAGTTTCTGTATAAAAATGTTTGGTATGAGCATGGAGATAATGCAGTATGCAAGACACATATATCACCATAAAAACTCCTGTACAGGTTTCATAAAAAATTATTATGAGGTAATATTTATTATTTTGTTTTAGTGCTCTTTATGAAATCTTCATGCTTGATAGTCAGTGTAATATGGTGAAGAGGAAGCTTGAATAGTACTTCAGTAATTATTGTTAGCAACTGTGTAGATTGGTTTTCATTGAAAATTGCCATTTGTAAAATGTCAGCTGGGTTTGCAGTTCTTGAATTGTTTTTACAAACTTTTTAGTGTAATTTAAAAGTTTTGATATAATTTGAAAGTTTTGATATTGATTGCTTTTTATAAATAGTTAAAATTCCTGCTAATTTCTATAAAAACAAAGAATTAATAAATTATTTATATTTATTTTTGAAGGATAATCATGCTGATGATTACATGGTGGTAGAAAAGATCTTAGCTATTAGAACAGTCAAGAAACAGGTAATAAATTCATCTTATTTAAAACAACTAAACTATGAAAATCTTTTCGAAGTAGAGTTATGTATATCTTTGGAGAGAGAAAGAGATTTAAATTTGCTTTTGAAAGCACAGAAGGAAGTGTGTGTGCTATGTTTATGCATGCATAAGATAAGGATTATAGGAGATTAAACTGTAGATTTAATTTGTGATAATGCATAAAATCTTTTTAATCTGATTATTTCACCTTTCAAAAAATTCCTTTGTTAAATCTTTAAAGTCTGTCATTTGGAAAGTTATCAGTTATGTATAATTCTTATTGCCAGTACAACATGTAATATGTGCTTACATAGTGGCAAACACAAGACTAATTTGTTTTATCCAACACATTAAAATTTTTAATGCATAATGAAATGAATACTCATCTCTGTGTTGGGAAGTAAGTTAACTACATCTTTCTTAATTTAGTAATATAACTGTTATGTTTTCGTTATCTCTTCACATCTATAAAACCTATAAGTTCCTCACATCCACATTTGACATAAATTCTCGACATGAAAAATGAACTTCACATTCATTCTGAAGTAACAAAAAAAAAAAAAAAAAAAAAAAAAAAAATACATTTACACTTCATACACAATATAAAAAATTTTCAGTCACCTGTAACAACAGAAATTATTTTGTTTTAGTAAAATAGGGGAACATTTCCACTATTTTAACATGATATCAGCATTTCTGTTTTTACAACACACTCAAGAAAAAATCTCGAATATCTCGACTGCATTTCAGTTAAAAAAAAAAGTTATCGCTTTATCACCACATGCATAGTGCACTCTCCTATCCGCGCATCTTCTCTCGTTCATTGCCAGATTCTCCTTTCTTTTCGGATCGGGATGGCTGGCCTTGCCAAACTCTCCAGCAGGGCTAGGTTAGGAGTTTTTTTAAATTGAGTATGTACATGACAGTAACCTTGCTCTTCTTGCACTTTCCTTCATTTTGTCAATATGCAACTCATTGCATAGTTATTATGCAGTGAATATTTGAAAAGTATGCTTCTATTTATTGATTGGTGTGTATTTCGCTATGTATGTTTGAATCAAGAATGTTGTGCTAAAAATAAAGATCTGTGTTAGTTGGCCTTTATTGCATGTTCAAATTTATGTACCAACTCTTACGATTGTCTCCATCAGCATGTGTGTGATTATGGCAAAGCCTCGAGGGCTATCTGCCTAAGGGAAGGAATGCCTTCGTGGAGGACTTTCTAAGGGAAACTGGCTCGTATACACATTACACGTGGAGAAAACCACGAAAACGCCCATGCAGCCAGCCCGTTTGTGGGATTCGAACCTCAGACCGTATCTCCATCAGAGCTTAAATTTTATCAGTTATTTAATATTATCATTTCTCAAAAATTACTTATGAGCTAGCTAGGTCAGCTGTGAAGTAACTTGAATACCGAAGCTTATTTCATAGTTTCAAATGACTTAAAACCTTGATAATTGTAAAATACTAAGTGATTGCTCTATTGAAGATCACTTGGGTTCAAGTGGTTAAGTTACTTAATAAGTTATCAGTTTGTAAAAAAATATTCAGTTAATTGGCATTTGATGGTTTAATTTTTTTCTTTTAGGTTGAAAATGCAAATAGTGATGTCGAGAATAGTACTCCTGAGATGATTGATGTTGAAGAATATTTTGTGAAATATAAAAATTTGTGAGTATAATTTCTTTATGCTTAATTCCCTTTTTTTTTTAATGTTTACTATTATTTGCAGCAACAAACTGAAATTTTTTGTTGCAAGACTTTTTTTTAATAAAAATGAGTATTTATTTCTTATAGATCATATATTCACTGTGAATGGAAAACATTGGAAGAATTAGAAAAGGGGGATAGGCGTTTCATCCAGAAGGTTAAAAGATTCAAACAAAAAAAGGAGACTTTTAACTTTTTTGATTTTGTAAGTATCATAAATCTCCAATAATGAAGTTACAAATATGAATCCATTTTTTCCTTGGATTTAAATGTCTGTTAAGCAAAGGCATTTTTATTTATTACAAAGCCTTTTAAATGGTTAAAACCATCATGACCTTTTGATTGGTGAATACCTTCACTGTGTTCATTTGCTAACTATAGTACATAGCTACATGGATTTTTTTTTTCATAATTCGTATATATATTTATTTATTAATATTTAAGAGTGTTTTCTGAGCAGATGCATCAATGGGTACAAATATATAAAACTTAAAAGAATAAATTTATTTACACAATTGTATAGTAATTGTTCAAACTTCATAGCATAATTATATAGATATACAGCACTGCAGGTCTATAGATAAATAAGTATGTAGAAACATATAAATGTATGTTGCTGTGGGAATATAGATACATGAAATTTCTATAAATCAATATTCTTCTTTATTGGTAAAATCTTTGTTAGTATATCTGCTTGTATAGCATATCATTGCTTTTTTTTAAGTATTATTTTTTAAGGTATTAATTGAGGAGGTAATTATTGGTTTCAGCAAATTTTTTAAATATAAATTTAAAATTAGTGTCGGTTTCTTCAACTGAAAATACTTATTCTATCACAAAATGAGATGGCTTGCATGAATTGACGGGCAAGAAGTTTTTTTAATGGTATTAACATTTATTTACAGACATCTTTTAATTACTTAACCCCCCAAAAAAACTTATGCCGAGTAACAATTTATGAAAATATTCAGATGAACGGACGGTTTAAAAATTCTTTTGCTAGAACTGGAGAACTGGATTTTTATTCGGAAACAAAAGTTTGCATGGTGTGATACAAGGGTTGAACAAATGTATGGAAAAACATTGCATTTACTAAGACTGTATAGGAAAACCGTTGGGCATTCAAAACAGCTAATGACAAGCTTGTGTCTTTTCTAAAGATTTTTAAATTATTGTGCACAATATTTCTTCCATGATAAATTAAGTTGTGGCTATTCATTTCCGAAGTATAAACTGACATTATTCACTTACATAGGTGGTGCAAGAGATGGCACAACAGTTAGAATGCATGTAAAGCATTTTCAGTAACTTGTGAAGAAGGAATAAATTACTTAATTATTTGTACATTAAAAAGATATTTTTAAATGTTTTTATTTGAGAAATATCTGTCAATTATAAATAATTTTTTAAAATTTTATTTTTAGCTGGAAGAGGATCCTTTCAACCCCGATTATATTGAAGTTGACAGGGTTTTGGATGTTAATGAGATCAGGGAACCTTTGGCATCAGAGAATGATTCAAAAGTTGAACCTTCTTCCAAACCAACAGCAGATGATGCTGATGGTGGTGGAGAAGTTAAAACTGATCAAAATCTCACTCCTGGTGAAGAAGATCTTAAATCAGAGGAGATAAATGTGGAAATTAGTGCTTTGCAAAGTGATATCCCTGAAGCTGAGAAAAGCTCTGTAGATATTGCTTCTCAAAATGTCCTCCACTCTGAGCAGAGAGATGTTGAAACTACTGCTTTGCAGACTGTTTCATGTTCTTCCCAACCACCTGTGATAGAAAATGAATCAAAGGAAGTTCTTCAGACCTTATGTACTGAAAATGATACTTCTCAAGAAGCTTCAGTGAAAGTAAATGTTGAGAATGGTGAAAAGGAGCCCTCTGAAGCTAATTTGGAAGAGAAACCTCCTGTAGCAGAAGAAAAGAATGAAAACTGTAAAGTAACTCGTCATTATTTAGTAAAATGGAGAGGTTTAACATATGAAGAAAGTACATGGGAACTGGAGGATGATGTAGATAATGACAAAATTGAACAATTTCTCAGGTTTAAAGAGCCACCTCCTAAAGAGAAATGGAAAGTAAGTATAATTATTACTTTATATGATGAAAGATATTTAATTGTTGTGCTGAGTATTAACATCAGGGCATAATCAATTTATAGTTTTGGGACATTGCAGATTCTAGAATGAAAGAATTTCCCTTTGTTCTTCAAAGAAATTACAAACTAAATATTGTAAAGTATTAAATAGTTGTAAAATTTCGTGATATTTCATGAAGTATTGATTACTTGTTGCAAGATGATATCTTAAATTTTATTGTTTTCATTTCGAAGCTGTCACTGTTTTAGTTAATGAGATTTGAATATATAACTTTTTTTTTTTAGAATTTCATCGCTTGAAATACAACAGTAGGATTATATGCATAAATACAGTAGCATTTGCAAGTTTAAACCAGTGTGAAATGTGAAATACATATGAACAGATTTATAACACATGAAGAAAAATGTCCTTAGATGTACATACCTATAAAATAATGTAAATAAATAAATTTATGATAAAATGATTAGAATGCAGTGCATAATAATCAGCTTAAAGTTTTTAAACAAAGTACACATAATAATAAAAGAAATGATCATAAGTGACTTCAGATCCAGGTGATGAATAAAGCAAATCGTTTAAAGTGAAGATCTGATTGATGAAGTAATTAATATTAAAAATTCTTCAATAGTAAAGTTGCTCAGTTCTTGAATATAGTTGATGAGATAAATTATTGAGTTAGAAGAGTAGATGAGTTACCTACCATCAGTGATAAAAATTTGAATCTGTGTCAACCAATATGTTTATAAATGGGAACAGTTTTCCCTCATAGGAATTAATGTAAACTGGATTAATTTGTTCCTGGACTGTAGCAGATTGCCTATTTAAACTTTGTGGCAGTACTCTGTGTTCAAGTTCCAAACTCAAAACCAATAAAAATCATTAAAAAGTAAAACAAAGATGAACCCAACATTAAACAGTTTAATAGATTAAAATTTAATTTTATAGTATCTATGAAAACCAGAGGGAACAGCTTAATTGAAAAATAATGAGGAAGATGTTATTGTTTGGATGTGAAATTTCCTTTCTTAAGAACATCATATAACTTAGGGCACCATTTCTTTTATCTTTTCTTTATCTTTAGGATACTTTTTCTTTTATCTTTATTTTGTCTATAAATGCCACTCGATGTTTCTTGAGACTGACTGAGCCTTTGTTTCACTCAAAATGTATCCATTGTGATTCATTAATGTCCCTATTTAAAAATGTCTTTAAAGTGAGACATGACATTGTCATTGAAAATACTTGTGCTGTAATTTATTAATGCTTTATCAGGATGATGTGTCAGCATGAAATTTTTGCGCCTTAACCAGTTTTGCATAAATTTCATGAAACACCATTCATGCATGTATGATCAAAGGCTTCATTGTATTAATAAGTTTCATTTTACTTAAACTGGATGTATTATTTATAGGTTAAAAAGCGTCCTAAGCCATCTGAATGGAATCAGCTTCCTGAATCACCTGTATATAAGGGAGGTAATACACTTCGAGAATATCAGCTGGAAGGTGTCAATTGGTTAACATTTTGTTGGTATAATAGGTAATAATTAAATTCGATGATGCATCTTTTCGTAATAATGAATGATGTTTGGTGTTTATTGCAATTGATTTTTTTTTCTTTCCCCAGTCAAAACTGTATATTAGCAGATGAAATGGGTTTAGGGAAAACAATTCAGTCAATAACATTTCTCAATGAAATTGATAAATATGGTATTCCTGGGCCCTTTTTAGTAATTGCTCCTTTGTCGACTATTGGCAATTGGCAACGTGAGTTTGAAACCTGGACTGATTTAAATGCTATCACATATCATGGCAGGTATGTTTTTTTTTAATCCACAATTTATATATGATAAATTGTGTAATTATATTTCTGAGAAATATTTTGTAATGGTTTGATATTTGTATTATTATTCAGAATGACTGAATTTTAAACAGCGTAATTATTTTATTCTACATAGTGACAATTAATGCATGAAATGAAAGGAAAACACCAAATTGTACTTACGGAGTGTTATGTAACTTCCCTTAGTTAATTGATAATATGAAGATAATCAACTGCTCTACACATTCTAGAATATGTTTTGTTAGTCTTGAGAGTAGTAAATAATGTAGTTTTTGATATTGCATTGAGTCAGAAGTTTGCACTATATATTTCATATATTTCCAAAAGAAAATACTGCATGGGGTAATAGTAGATTACTTACTGAGTCATATTTTAAATTTTAAGGTCTAATGTCATGGAAGTGTTTCATATTTGAAGGAGTATTTCTTTAAGAGAATACTGTAATCTATGTAAATATATTAGTCTTGAGGCTTTGATGCAGGTTGCATAGTAAATCTATATATTGTTAATAGGTATGTTAACTTAATATGTCAGTCGTATGAAATATGCATGTCTGAAAATTTGGAGCTCTGTTTATCTGAAATTGTGTCAATCATTTTCAGTAAATCTGTAGAATGAGGGAAAAAAAAATGTATAGCTATTTGTTACTATGTTACTTAAAAAACATAATAGTATTATCACATTTGTAATTATGATGCAATTTTATTTGCAGTTCACCTAGTCGCAATATGATTCTTGAGTATGAAATGTATTGGAAAGATGAAAAGGTATCTTCTCAAAATTTTTTCATTAAGAAAGTATATGAGCAGAGTGCCTTTTTTATACACGAGGCGTATTCGGAAACTAAGTACCGTTTTGGGGGAAAAAAAAAAAGTAAACCAATTTTTCGAATACAATTTTATTTTTAAATGAAAATATATGTCTTAAACTATTTTTCAACATAGTTTCTGCCAATGATCAAACACCTGTCATAGCGGGTGACCAGATTTTGTATACCATCATCAAAGAAACTTCCCGCCAGTTTCGATAACCATGACTCCACGGCATTTTTCGTATCATCGTCAGATCCAAAGCACTTGCCACCAAGCTTGCACTTCATGTGCAGGAACAAGTGATAGTCGGATGGCGCCAAGTACAGGCTGTACGGCGGGTGATCGAACTGCTCCCAATGAAACTGTCGAATTAACGATTGAGTGAAACCAGCAGTATGGGGCCGAGCATTATCATGGAGCAACACAATTCCTTTACTGAGTATTCCTCTTCGTTTGTTTTGAATGGCACACCTTAGTTTTGTTAAAGTCTCACAATATCGTGCTGCATTAATGGTTTCACCTCTGGAAAGAAATTCAGTAAGCAAAACGCCTTTCCTATCCCAGAAGACAGTGCACATGATTTTTTGTGATGACATTGTCACTTTGAACTTTTGTTTTTTTGGAGAATGAGTGTGTCTCCACTCCATTGATTGTTGTTTCGATTCTGCTGTGAAATGACACACCCAAGTTTCATCACCTGTCACAATTCGGTTTAAAAAGTTTTCTCCCTCATCACTGTACCGTGTGAGAAATGTCAGGGCACTACCAAGTCGCTTTGTTTTGTGAACATCAGTGAGCATTTTTGGAACCCACCGGGAACGCAGTTTGCATAATTCAAGCGATCAGACACAATTTCGAACAAAACAGTATGTGAAATTTGTGGAAATGCCTCTGAAAGAGTGTCATTGTGAAGCGTCTGTACTCATGAATTGCTTCAACAACTTTCCTTACCAAATCATCGGTGACAACAGAAGCCCGACCAGTCTGAGCCTCGGCGTGGACATTTGTTCGACCTGCATTAAACATTCTTACCCACTTTCTCACCATTCCATCACTTATCGCGTATTCACTGCAAACTTCTGTCACTTGACGATAAATTTCAGCCGGTTTAACATTCCTCGTGTTCAAAAATTTAATCACGACATGAATCTCACAGTCAGCGGGAGAACTAATTGTATTAAACATTTTGAATGTGCACAGCAAACTGAAAACACAACATAGAGCTACCAAAATGGCGACAATTGCAAGTCAGTGAACAAGAAAGACTAGTGCGCATGCGCGGGATGCCTACCACAGCGCTGCGATGGCGCTAGAATGAAGCGATACTTAGTTTCCGAATACGCTACATAGTATTTGAAGACTGAATAGTATTTTAATATTTGTGTTTCATGTGTTAGGGAGAACGGATACAAGATGTATATAAATTTCAAGTCATGATAACCACTTTTGAGATTATCCTTACGGATTGCATGGAATTAAAGTCTATTCCATGGAGATGTGTGATTATAGATGAAGCTCATCGACTGAAGAACAGAAATTGCAAGCTTCTGGAAGGCTTGAGAATGCTGAATACTGTAAGCCTTGTTATTTTTGTTTATCAGAAACAAGATACTAGTTTTATTTATGTAATCTAATTTTATTTTCTCTTTTTCTATAGCACATATTTATTGCACTTGAGGAAATATGTGCGTTTATAATTATCATAATTATTATTGCAGGAACATCGAGTTTTGCTTACTGGTACTCCTCTTCAGAACAACGTGGAAGAACTTTTCAGTCTTTTAAATTTTCTGGAGCCGAATCGATTTGCTTCCACTGAAGCATTTTTAGAGGAATTTGGAAATCTCAAAACAGAATCTCAAGTGGATAAACTGAAAGCTGTAAGTGTTATATGAATGTATTAGACATTTAGTAATTTAATTAATTAAATATTTATTTAATTTTTTGCTTACTAAAAATTGAATCAGAGCTTTTATCAGAATAATTAGATCTAAACATCTTATATGCTTCACTCTTCAAGATAGAATTCATATCAGTTTAGTTTAAGTGGCGCTTATTAGTCTTAGTAGTGAAATTCTGTATTTTTTTGCAATCTGTCTTCTTGTATATGTAGGTTTTTGCACAGTATTTAATGCAATTTTAGGATTTATCTCAAATTCAAGGTTTTCTTCACAGTTTGTTGTACAAATGTCTAACATTTATTAACATACATATTTTTAACAGCATTCCTTTCATTCATAGCTATTGAAATAGAGGTGATATTTTTGAATTTGAAAACTGTTGATTTCCATGCAAAATTGTCTTCAAAATAATATATTAGGCCTCATTCAATTGAAACACCAACAATCACTCAAATATCGATCATTACATCCAGCATTAGTGATCACTTTTGAAAACGAGTGTGAACACTTTTGAATGATAGAGTTCCTAGATATGTAGGCTGACTCGTCAGCCATGCCGTAACCGTTCTTTAGGGTTGCAATACAGCTATGGTGTGCCCTCTTTGTCTTTTCAGCACTATTGCTTCAATGTTTTATCTATGAAACGTCTTCAAAGGGTATAATTTTATTTTAATTCCTTTATGAAAATAGCTAACCTTAAAGACACATTCCATTCACACAAATCACATTAACACATTAAAATATAGGTCAAATAAGTTTTGTATGCATACTGAAAAAAATAAAAGTGATTCAAAAGTTATTTTAAAGCAAAAGAAAAGAAAAACTATAGCTCTTTTAACAACTTAAAAAATATAATGTAATGTATTCTAAAAGCAAAATTATATAATACATAACCCTCTGAGCTTTATGACCGGGTAAGGTCATCAGAAGTTTGGTGTATATTAGCTTATAATTTAAGATATCTTACTTTCTTTAATTATGTAAATATCATTTTAATGAATGTAAGTTTATGAAAATGTAGACTGAAATAAGTAATTATACAAAATTAATAAATGCTGTTTAAATACTGGTCTTCATGACAGATCTAAAATCCTGTCTCACTCAGAGGGATAATAATACAAATCAAATATGTATAATAAATACATAAAGCTCTATAATGAATAATGTTCATAACTATATAATAAATGCCAACACACATCACATCATGGTACATAACACTGCTATGAAAGGAAGGATATTTGATTAGAAATGTACATTTCATATTTATTTGATAACACAGAAGAGTAAAACATAACGATGACAAGAAGTTATGAAAACAAATTATGCAACTTAAGAAACAGTAAGAAAGCCTTTAAGTTATTGCAATATCATAAGACACTTATTACCAAGTAAATATTATTTTTTCATTCTTTTATAGCAGTAATAAGTTTTTCATTTAAACTTTTAGCAGTGAATGCCAAAACAGATGTATTATTGGCGTCTCTCATGCAAGGTCACACAAAAATAAACTTGATTTAGCAAATTTCTGAAAACCATAAAATCAGAAGTATCAAACTACAGTAACATATATTATTAAATTATTTTAATTATGCATTGAGAAAGCAATTGTCTCATAAATTTAATTTTGATATGAAAACTGAATTAAATTAAGAATGAGTGAATAGGTATGCAGAGCATTTTAAAACATATATCATACATTGGCAATAAATTTGACAGGAATTGCAGTTAAATGAAAGAGTTGGAAATGATATGAAATACATGATGTATGAAATACAGTCAAAATTATTTATTAAATACTTAAATTGATGCTTACCTTCTTTAAAATGAATATAAATATGATATATTTATGTTACTTTAAAGGAAGCATTATATAATGCATAATTTTAATCATATTATCCAATGTTTCCATTTTTTTACATTGGAGCCAAATGACAGATTTGGTGATAATATAACAGGGTAAAAAAATAGCATACGATTTTAAACCATGAATCCTACCTTAAAATTTAAATAAAAAGTGCACTTCATAGTTCTAATCACGTACAAAAGAGTTCTAATCACACACTCCAAATAATGAGATAGTGAGTTTCTCTATCAAAAAGCAGTGAGCATTTTTTTTTTTTTTTTGTTAGTTTGATGGTCATTGAGTTTTTTGGGGTTTTTAAAATTCAGGTTGATGTGCATCTTGTGCATTGGATAAGTTATTGTGTTATTTGAAATGAAGATAATAAGAATCACTTAATTTTAGCATTTCACAATGTTCTAATTTTATAAAAAGGAAAATATAGGATTACATGCTTCTAATTAATAGGGAACATATTTTCAGTCATCAGAATTAGTACGAATTTTATATTACATTTGCTTATTTAACTGTCTTATCATTGAATATATTGCCAAGGATAACACTATAGATGGAAAGTGCTATTGCATCAGCAAGTAAGGGAAAGATATTGGGAAAACAATTAAACTTTACAGAAGAGTCAAATCAGTACCTCCAGCAAATATATTTATTTGTTTTGACTGACTATGAGAGTCTGTTAACTATTATGCTGTTTGGAACAGCCTATATAAAATTCTTACTTATTTTGAGATTATCCACTAATTCATGTGCAGTGATTTGATGATAATTTTTGTAGATAGCTTTGGGTAAACTAACTGAAAAATTGCTTTTATTATTAGTATTTAAATCATGGCTCAAATATAATTTTATCAGCAAACAACTGTGCATTTAATTGATTGTAGAATATTTTGTCATAATTCAAGTTTTTATCTAGAGCATTCTTATATATTTATTTACTAGATTAATAGATTATATTTCTGTTTTTTTTAATAATTTCAGATATGATTAAGAGTTATTCATTTGTACTAAGCATTTTGTTTGTCAGTCTAAATTTTCAGTTTTGATTTTAAGAACAAATTAATTTTGAAACAAATAAGCAATTTTATAGCTTAAATTTAAATTTAAGTGAAATATGTATTTTGATGGAGAAAATTGCATAATATGTAGTTCTATCTAAGGATGATTTTTAGCTAAATATATTATTTCTGCTGTCCTTAATTTATTTAGTTCAAGTTAGATAATAATTCTGAGCTTTTTTTTTTTTTAAAGATGCATTATTACAGAATACTATATGTTTTGTATATGAAAATGCATTCTTAAAAAGCTAATAATTTTGTCTTAATAAATTAAAAAAAATTATAGTTTATTATTTCGAAAACTGTCATTTTGGCAATTTGTGTAAGATTTCTTATGTAATATTTTAGCTTCTGAAACCCATGATGCTTAGAAGACTTAAAGAAGATGTTGAAAAGTCTTTGGCACCAAAAGAGGAAACTGTTGTAGAGGTGAAGTATACTTTTTTTGGTGAGGGGTTTGTTTTTAACATTTTAAATTTTAAAAACATTTAACCTTTATATTTTGTTAACCAGCATACAAGTTTTTATGATTTTCTTAGAAAAGATTTTTGTGATTGAAATTGGTGCTTAAAACATATATCATTGAAATGAAAATTTTTGTACTGTTTCAGGTGGAATTGACAAACATTCAGAAGAAATATTATCGAGCTATTCTCGAACGTAATTTTACTTTTTTAACTAAAGGAAATTGTTATTCCAATATGCCAAATTTGATGAATACTATGATGGAGTTACGGAAGTGTTGTATTCATCCGTTTCTCATTAATGGTATTGTAAGGCTTCATTGAATATAATTTTTAATAAAAGCTAATACAGTACAAAGTCTGAAATCCAGACGTCCATTATTCGGAATGATGTAAAATCCGGATCTCAAAGCCAAACTTTTTTTTTGGTATGCTTTACGCATGCGCATTTGATTTTTCCTTCCATAATAAAACATGTGGAGATTTTCACTTAAAAATTCCAATTCATAATTTCATTAGGCACTAAATAAAATACCTCGTTATAAAAAAACAATCATGTAAGCATAAATTTGTGAGATTAATAATTTGGTTCCCTAGCTGAGTGTCTGCTTGGCATACAACTCGAACCGAAACATTCACCTATTTTATACCCCTGACTCCGATCTGGCAAGTCATTATTTATTATATTTTGCTTTCATCACCCCATGTTTATCAATACATGACAGCTTCAGTAATAACTCATGCAATGATGTCTAAACTTTTTTTATATTAGTAATTAAATAACAAAAATATGGCAACCTTTTATGCTAACATTACGCTTGGAGATGATTATAGATTTTTAAATGCTCTAAGAAATGTTGACAAAGAAAAATTGAACAAAATTTTTTTTCATATGCTAAAAATAGATTTTGTTATTGAAACTCGTAGGCCCAAAGTTTACATTTAGTGCTATTTTAATTAAGAATAACTGATACGTTATTCACCATAAACCCAGAAGTGGTGGAGCACCGGACGGCAGAATTTAGGGAAGACAAAATTTTTCGAATTTGGGGTAGCACCAAGCGGCAAAATTAAGGGAGGAGAAGTTTTTTATAATGTAAACTTTTCATATTCTGGACACGGCCATTACAGGAACTTTGTAACTGAACAAAAAATTATGTCTGTTTATGGAATTAAAGAGAAAGTATTAGCACAAAAAAACGGAGCAACTTAAACAACTTACATTGAAAGAAATGTTCAATAAAGTAAACAATTAAATATGAAGCTTTTTTTTGTAAATTTTTATACCCTTTAGATCATAATTGCTTTTTATTTCATAAATTGCAATTTCATATTTTTAATTATATAATTTCTGCATGCCATTTTACCAGATTTAAATTGATGATCTAATATCCGAAAAGATTCCAAGTCCGGAATCGCCGAAGTCCTGACGAGTCCGGATTTTGGACTTTGTACTCTGTTAAGATAAATCCACTGTTATATATAATCTAGATATTTATTTATCATTAGAAAAGTGTTGTTCTTATGATTTCAAAGAGAAAAGGTTAGCCCTTTAAAAGAAATAAGTTTCATGTAAAACAAAACGTCAAAGAAAATTGCATCTTTTAATGCCATGACATTTTAATTCGCTATGCTAACAGTATTATTTTGAACTCGGTTTTCTTTGTGTTCTATGCATTTTGTAAAGAAATATATAAAAACATGCGTTTTATTGAATTTTGTATATATCAAAATAATATTCTGTATGTTTTCTTGACTTAACAATTTTTTTTTGTAAAATAAATTACAAACAGGTTTGCTAGGGTACCTGGAAAACCATGAAAAGTCAGGGAATTTGAAAATTGACCAAAAAAGTTAGGAATTAAAATAGTTAAGTCAAAATCTGGAAAAGTCAGGGAATCTCATATGGCAATAAATAAATGAAAAAAAAAAAAAAAAAAAAAACACCCGCAATTTTTGTGCCAATGTTGGAAGTGATCACTTTTTTGGGAAATTATCTATTGTGTGAGCATAATTCGGGCAGCTGGCATAGAGCCAATCTTCACAGCTCGAATCAGATTTTCTTTTAGAAAAGGCAAAAGAAGTGTCTAGTAAACTCAAAGATCAAGAGACTGGCATATGCACGTGTGCAGTGCATTTTGTACAAAAGAAAATGCCTTCCCATTCTCATATAAAATAAAATTGTTTTAATCCTAGTATATGGTATTTAGCAACATTATGATGAGCAGTAAGTGGGTCATTTTGGCGTTGGTGACAATTTTCAAAATCGTCCCAGGATTTCATCACAAAAACTTTTAAATCTTTTTTTTCTTTTTAATAAATCCCTTATTTGTCATTTTGTAGTAAAATAAAAAAGTAGTATTCAGTAATGTTGGCTATTTAATATAACTATATTTGCCAAAGTATCATAATTCAATTTTTAATCTTTAAGTAATTAACTAATTATTTTAATGTTATTTGTATCATTTAATGTGGCTTCTTCCTTCTAAATTATTTATTATTAGTTAATAATACTTTTATAATAATTTCAGACGATTTTCTCGGGCATACTCCTGAAACTAATTCTAGCAGTATGATGATATACCATCACTTGATTTAATGCATATATTTTTTTTCCTTACATATGTTGCTAAATAAATATAAAATACCTGAATGTATGTTAAAATATCATTAAATAGATTTCTTTCTTTCGTTTAGCTGTGAAATGTCTGTGAAAAAAAACTTTTTTTTTAATCCAGATTGGGCAGATTGAATCTTCTGTGGAGAAAACAATTCCTATTTTGGGGATTATATATATATATGTATACATAATTCAATTGGCAAATTTTTGTGTTTTCAAGTGGTATCATAATTTACATCTCAGCACAGCCAACGTGCACTATGCAGATTGATGGAATTTTCTTAAACACACCTGGAAAACTTAGAAAAGTCAAGGAATTTCGTTCTCCTGTTTGAGTGGCAACCCTGGGTAAACTGATGCTTCACACATCCACTGTTATATATATACTTACGAATTCTCGAATGCAAATGTCTGTATGATGAAAAAGTAAACAAGTTAGAAATGAAAACATTTAAGTTTTTTATTTTAGAAATGTAAGATTATGAAATTATTTTATATTGCACTAAATTTTTAATATATATCCCTCTTATCATTGCATTCATTTTTATTACTTGAAATAAAAGGAGAGTATTGTTTTAAAGCAATAATAATATAAATTTTCATGAAGATTGATATTAATATATACTTCTTTTAAAATTTTCAGGTGCTGAAGAACAGATAATTAATGATTACAAAATGCAGCATGAAGAAAGCCTAGATAACAATTTAAATGCAATGATCCAAGCTTCAGGGAAACTTGTACTGATGGATAAGTTATTACCTCGACTTAGATGTGATGGGCACAGAGTTTTAGTTTTCTCTCAGATGGTTCGATGTTTGGATATTTTAGAAGATTATTTGGTACAGAAAAGGTAAAAAAGTATACTTAAAAACTTCATTCATATTAAATAAAATATAAAATCACTAAAATAATTTGTTAAATATTGGTTAGCAAGCAGTTTTCCCTAAGCATAAGCTACTCTTAATACTTAAGTTCGCATAATCCCTTTATTATTTGTAGTTAATTTGTTAATTATGGAAACATAACTGTTTGTGTGCAATACTGTAAAAGCATTATCATGATAGAAGTCTTTTGCTGGTTAATTTTGTTGAAAATCTAATGGTCAAATACTTCTTTCTTATAGAAATAGAAACAGATTAAACAGTTTAAGAATGGGCTATGTTCAAGAAGTTTTAGCTAGTGGAAACTTTTGGAAGATTTTGAATGTTAAGGAAAGGAGGAGATAACTAAGAATAACTCATAAAATGAGTTAAATTTATATGGATTTATGCCAGCTAATTGATATTTCTATTACAGTTCTTGAAGCAGAAGACTAAAAATATAAATCTCAAAAATCCAGAAAATTTAAAAGAATGTATTTTTCCCCCCTTGGAGGGGTATGAATTTTTGGCCTATGTTTCCACTTATATGAAAAAATTTTAGTTAAAGGAGCAGTGATATTTTATATTGGCTGTGCTTTTTCCTCCATCTACAAAGATTCACATTTTTAAGCAATATGGTCAGTATAATTGTGATAAGATTTTTATATACAGTCAAAAGTCGTTAATTCGGACACCCAAAATCTGGAATGATCTATAATCCGGACCTCAAAGCTAAAAACTTTCTGCGCATGTGCCGCGTTGACACATGCGTTTACGCGTGCGCGTAAGACCTTTAAGACTGCGCATATGCGTGTGTGCAAGCGCAGAATATGTTTTCGCGTGCGCATTTTATGTATAACGGACGGTATAAGCTAAAATGATCTAATTATCTATTTCAGTTAATGTTGATGATTGCATTGTTCCTTAACCTTCAAATTGAATCTGACTTATTATTTTTTGCAAACTGTAAAAGCAATTTTATAAAAGTAAATATGAACTTTCGATTATGTCAAATAGAATTTCCGATGCTGAAGCTCCCAAAGGATCTACAAAATGAAAGTATGTTTCGATGTCCATCAAACAAAAAGTGGAATTGCTGCAAAAAATGGATAAAGACATGAAGAAGGTAACAGAGAGGTTAGTGAAAATGAAAAAATTTCGATTGACAAGTTAGTCGGTATTCTCGGCGCAGCAATTACAGGACTTAAACAGCGGAACTTTGTAACTGAACAAGAAATTATGTCTGTTTATAGAATTAAAGAGAAAATATTATCACATAAAACGAAGCAACTTACATTGAAAGAAATGTATAATAAAGTAAACAAATAAATATTAAGCTTTTTTTTTTTTGTAAATTTTGATACCCTTTAGATCATAATTGTTCTTTATTTCCTAAATTACAGTTTCATATTTTTAATTTTAGAATTTCTGCATGCCATCTTACGAGATTTAAACTGATGATCTATAATCCGGAAAAATCGATAATCCGGAATCGCCGAAGTCCCTACGAGTCCATATTAACGACTTTTGACTGTAGTAACTATTCTGTTGGCATTGTTTATGTATGCAAAATGCAAATTATATATTACAATATTCATAATGTAAGCTATCATGCTCAAAGTATTGGGTACAGTCAGTAAGTACTGTGGCTGAGGATATTAAACCAAAATTTGGTATATAGAGAAAATGGAGATGGGCCTGAAATGTATTTGCTATTGTGACAAAAATAATTTGCGCACTTTTCACTCGTTAGGTGGCAGTAATGTGATGCAGGGAATGAGAAAAGGATAACTGAGCAGCTGTCAGGTCTATTCATTCCATTTCTGAAAGCAATGTTGTAATAGAGGCATGCAAAGAGAAGCAACAGAGTATTGTGCACTTTTTGACAGTGTCAGAAGTCATGAAATCCATCAATAAATGGATTTCAAAGATTTATGGGGAGCACTGTTGTCAAGGGTACAGGAGCAGAGCAAGTGCTTTTGTGAATCACTTGAGGATGACATGCAAAGTGGAACACAGTAGCATGTCACAGACCATGTTGCAAAAGTGGATGAGTTCATCAAGAAAGACTGTTATGTAACAGTAGACGACATTTCTGCATCTGTAGGGACTGGTTCATAGTACAGTTCACACAATTATCATGGACACATAGGTTGAAATTCCTTAGAGTGTGCGGGCAACTGGTCACTGATTCTACCAATGTCAAATGGTAAGGGTCCTATGACCATTACCATTTGAGACCAATAACAATAACACATTTAATATCAAATAAGAGGCCTGTCGCAAGACCATGCCTCTGAATCGCTTCAATGTTACAATGAAAGTGGGGACAACTTTTTGTCACTACTGGTGATGAAAGTTGGTGCCACCAGCTTGCACCTGAATAGAAACAGCAAAATTTATAGTGGAAGTGCAGATTCCTTTCTAAAAAAAGTTCAAGACCATCCTCACTAATGCTGGCAAGGTAGTGTTTCCATTCTTCAATTGTAACTGGTCACTTGTCAAATTCCTGGAGAATGGAGTTACCGTCAGTGCTCGGTGATATTGTCAAATGCTAGCAAAGCTGAGGAAAGCAATCATGTTGAAACATCCCAGTAAACTTTCTTGTCTTGTCATTCTTTTGCACCGCACCTGACCACACACAACCAAGGCAGCAAAGCAACTTCTTCAGTATTTAAATTGGAATCTGATCCACCCTCCCTGTAGTCCAGATCTATTCCCATGTGACTTTCACATCTTCGTTGTGCTCAAAAAAAGCATCGTAGGGACAACGGTTTCAAATGAATGATGGAGTACGTGTACAACTGTTTCAAACAGCAGCCACATTCTGAGATTAGTGTTCCAATGGGATAAATCCCTAAATAGTTGTGGGAACACTTTGAGTTTAATTAAATATGTTATTTATTGATGAAGGAATGGAAAAGCTTTGATTAAAAAAATTATGCTTTGCCAAACAGAATGATGGAAAAATTCTTTAAAGCTGTTATAAGGATGCCATAATAGAATAAGTATTTAATTTATCAGTAGAGCACCATATCTGTATAAATATCATCAAATAAAGAAAATTTTCGAAGTATTTTGTGAATAATTAGTAGATTTTGTACTGAAGTGGAAAAAAAAAAAAAAAAAAAGAAAAAAAAAAAAAAAAAACTAAAAGTAATCTCATTTAGAGTGCGTAACAATGCCCCTTGTAAATAATTTCAGTGCATGATGGACATCTGTAGAAACTTATATGGCTTATTTTATAATACACTTGATATTTCATTATGATTTAAACAACTTTGTTATATGTTTATTAAATTTTACATTTCCTACCATTTTGAAAGAACAAGCAAAGTTTGGGTTTTTATATTCATTCATTTTATATCTCCACATTTGTTTCCTTATTTATGGTTCAAAGAGACAGAGGGAAAGAAATCCCAAATTTTTCTAAATGTAAGTCATAGTTTGTAACATAGTGACAACAAAAGTGATAGTTTATAACATAACAACTCAAGTGCTTCCCACACATGTGCATGTTCAATTTGGACTGATGTAATTTGTAATTGCTAGAAACAGCATTTTCATTATGAGAACCTTGCATGTATAGGCTATAGTAATTTTTATCTTACACTGCAACTTGATTGTCATAAATATATTGGTAGAAAATCTCAGCAATCAGTGGTCTGAACGTATCTGACATATCCTTATCCCTGTGCTGATAATTCTGTTTAAATTTGCTTAACACGTTGAGCGTGGCGCTGAATTTGCTGTCCTTTCCATTCAGCCGACAGCGAGCTAAGCCATATTTTTGTTTAGAATGTTTCAATACATTTCATTAAAACTAAATTTGATCACATTTCATTGAGACTATATTTATTTTTAAACTTTAATACTGTCAGTCCCGCGGACTGACGCTAGCCGAACGAAAATTCCAGTGTTGGTCTCTAGGGACTGACGCCGGCCACACGGAAAGTTCACTGCCAGGATCGGCGCCGCGCTCAGCGTATTAACTGTTACTTCCAGCTTTCACTCTTTTTAAGCTTTAATTTAACACAGTATGGGTCCCAGAGATAAGAAAAGTGAAGTACTTGCCTATTAATGTTAGGAAAAGAAATGATTCTATAATTTTATTGATACCAACTTTGAAACATTACTTTTTTGATATTAATCTTTATTGATCAACCTTTGAAACATTATGTTATACAATTCAAGAAATGCAATTTTTTTAAAAATTTCTTACTTTTATGGAATAAGGTAAAATTTTGGAATTTTGTGCTGTCATAGATATGAGAGGAATGTACTGTAGTAATTAATGTATTCTACATTACTTTTACATCTCAGTGTATAAAATACAGTGTTATATTATGTGATGTTGATAATGTTTTACAAATACTGAGATATGTATATTTAATCATGTAGTACTGACAAATTCATTAGGCACTTTGTAGAAGAAACGACATTTGTTTCCTATAATAACTATTTTTAGATTTTAAATAGATATACAGTCATTGATAATAACTATTTCAAATTTTCAATAATTTGTACATATAGTGTTTGTGTGTCTGTGGCGAGGGAGGGGCTAGATCATGATACTGGCAGAGTAGCAAGACAGAGTGATAAGAGGTCAATCACCTTAAAAATTTAGATCATTTGAATATCTTGTTTTGACTTACAAAATTAGAGAAGTATAAAGGGAAGAATGATGTTTAAAATTAGAGAAGTATAAAGGGAAGAATGATAGAATGATGTTACCGCAGTAGGCTTTCAAATGATAAAGTTACTTTATTTTTCAGTAGCGGAATGTATTATCATTTTATTGTTACTGATTACTAAAACTTTATATTGAATAGATGATTTAAGTAAAGTCACACAAACTCAATGTGGACTGTGAAGATGTCGAGTTGGCGATAATGTCAAGTTTTACAGAAGAAGGAACGGAGTATTGAGAACTCGTAATATTTCGTCAACTGTCTAAATCCAAGGGAATTTTATTCATACCTTCCTGTCTCTTAAGGTTTGGGTTTGATTTAGTTTATTATGCAAAGCACACTAGAACTATCTGCCTATGAGAAGGGATGCCCTTGTGGAGAGCTTTCTTAAGGGAAACTGGCTCGTATGCACATTGCACAAAAGAAAAACCATGAAAACACCCATACAGCCAATCCATTTGTCTGGATTCAAATCGAGGTCAGAACTACCAGTGTTAAACAATTTTACTGCATGGCTGCTGGTTGACCTGTGTCTTAACCCTTTCGGTCCTAAGGGGCACATACATCCCAGAGATTAGATTGCATACCCTATTTGAGTAAATAAAACCAACTTTTAAATGGGTTTTTACATTTGCAGTCTTTTTAAGGAATTAGGGAACAGATACATGACTAAAGAAACCTGGCAACACTTTTAGATTGCAGATGGCATACTTATGTTTTTGAGCACGCTAATTACTCAAGGTTCAATTTGTCTTTTCTTTTTCTTCTTCTTTTTATTTTTTATTTTACAGTAAGTACAATTATATTTAAGGCATGCTTAGCATGAAATAGTTCTTATAAAGTAGTAATTTTTCATTTTCAATTCAGATTTAAGAAATTTTGAATAAATTCTTTTTGTGGAATATATCGTCCCAATCATATTTAACAGTGGGTTAATATGTCCCACCAGTGATCAAATTACTACATGTTGATATATTATGTTCGCATTTATGAAACATATATGAAAATTTATGTTCTGTATGAATTACTGCATGTGACAGAGTTTGTTTTGCAATATTCACAATATATACAGTCAAAAGTCTTTAATCATGACGTCCATAATCCGAACCTCGAAACTACAAATTTTCTGCGCATTCGTAAACGCATTCACATGCGCATAATAAAGTTACGCATGCACATAATTCATTTACACATGCACATTTAATGGATAACGGATGGTATAAGCTAAGCTAAAATTATCTAATTATCTATTTTAGTTAATGTTGCTGATTGCGTTGTTCCTTAATCTTCTAAATTGGATCCGGCTTATTATTTTTTGCAGACTGTTAGAGCAATTTTATAAAAGTAAGCTTGAATTTTCGATTATGTCAAAAAGAATTTCCGATTCTGGAGCTACCAAAGGATCTACAAAGCGAAAGCATGTTTCGATGTCCATCAAAAAAAAAAAAAAGTGGAATTGCTGCAAAAATGGATAAAGGCATATCCTTTGATTCTCTAACCATTCCGAAATCTGTTTATCAATTTCACGCTGCTCTGCGGGGGGGGGGGGGACGTCGCGGCGCGCAATGAACTGGAAGTTGATCTGTCAGCACTATCCTTATCTTCAGGGCAGATGTTTTATTTTTATTCGGCTTATAATTCCTTACTAAATGTAGTATTTCATCTCGATGTACTCCGTCTTTGATATGATTTAAATCAAATTCCTCGTCATTATAAATATCACGAATACACATCAAATAGTTTTCTGGTTGCAATTTTCTAATTTCGACTATGTGTAATGTATGCTTTACGCATGCGCGTGTTGAAAAGAAATGTTTAATAAAGTAAACAAATAAATATTAAGCTTTTTTTTTGTAAATTTTGATACCCTTTAGATCATAATTGCTCTTTATTTCATAAATTACGGTTTCATATTTTTAATTTTATAATTTTTGCATGCCATTTTACCAGATTTAAACTGATGATCTATAATCCGGAAAAACCAATAATCCAGAATCGCCGAAGTCTCGACGAGTCCGGATTAAAGACTTTTGATTGTATTACCATAAATTTTAGTTTTGTTTTCTGAGAAAGGATAATATCCTAGATGATTGGAACAAATAGTCCCTGTTGATAATATGATTGGGACATATTATCAATCCTAGAATATTTCCAGGAAACGGGAAAAGTTACAAATTTTAAACTCGTATTACCTTCTTTTAGTATATCAACATTAAATTAAAGTACTTTTCGTAGTTGAAGTTTAATTATGCAAAAGTCGGGTTGAAAGGGTTAAGGCATCCAGCTTAATTTCCATTGTCATGTTTAATTTATTTTGCTTGTTGAAGACATTTTTACTTGCATAGACAACAAAATACAACACTTATAAACCTGGATATCATTCTATCCGAAATAAACTGAAGGTTACCTTATAATGGGGTACAACCAAACCTGCTAGCAGCTAGCAAAAGAAAGAAGGAATATGAATGGTAATCATCTGTTGTTGATTGCCACTATTTTGTTATGGAGAGAAGGAAGGAATTTCCATAAAAAGAATAGAACTTGTCACAAAATCCATTTTACAGGTTCCAAGAAATTGCATCACAAATTGAAAGAGATGAAAATTGTAAAATTATAATATTATGACAGAATAAGAAATATACAGACATAACTGAATGTATATATGCACTGTAATTATACATTAATGCATAGTAATTTAAATACAGGTATGGTATTTGCAACATATTGGCAATGTTAGTAATTACTGCAATCTAGTTTTAATAAACCACCACATTATTTGAAGGATACCATTAAAAAAAAAGACGCTCGTTGTTATACTGTGTGTTGAATTTACGGAACTACTCTATATGCATCAGGAATAATATACATGTAACTTATATAAAACTAATCAATTATAAAAGTGACATACAATCAGCAGTATGAACATGTAGTTATTTCCAGGACAGAAAATAATCATCCATTATAAGAAAACGCAAGGAGTTTTAAAAACAAAAATTATTATGCATATATATGTTTGAATTATTTAAAATAAAAGGTATATGAAATTCACATTTAAAATTTAATAGGTATCCATATGAAAGAATAGATGGACGTGTGAGGGGTAATCTCAGGCAAGCTGCTATTGATCGCTTTTGTAAACCTGGTAAGTTTCTTTTGTGTATTTAAGTCTATGCATCATGTTAAATAATTACCTATTTCATGTGGTGAGTTCTTTGCAGTACATGTAAATATTTATGAATAAATGCTCAGTAAATGAATTTTTTTATTTTTATGTAAAAAATCATTATTCATATATAGTATTTTGTTTTACAGTACACACTGCTTATTAAATTCTCTGGTTAGTAAAATCAGCTATTTATTATGTTCACATTTCTAGGAGTCAAAACAAGTATACATTGGTTAATAGATTTATATTTAAACTCTGAATTTTCCAGATTGCGTTGTGCAGTATATTAAAGGACTAACATAGACTCCAACCTTCAGCAAACCTTGTCAGTAGTCAACGTGCGAACGACATTTTTACAACTTTGAAAATGTGCGCGTAGCGTATGTTGTAATTAACCATTCATTAATTTTAAATTAATAATTAATTGTAATCAATTTTATTACATTTAAAATCCATATACATATAAAACTGAATAATTAAAAATATACCTTGTAAATTATATGCACATTTAATTAGAAATTTTCTTTTAACTCCTCAAGCATTCACTAATAAAAAGTACTTCAAATCACTACTAATCATAGAAAAAATCAGAAGCTATAAATCATATCTTTATTCTGGATATGATTTCTACAGGGAAATAAAATTTAAATAACCAAGAATGATACATATAAGTATTAAACAAAATACACATAATTTATGAATGCAAAGATTTATATGTAGCATGCTTAGCAAGCTTAAGTTCTGATTTTGAGAATGTTTTTTTATAACACAGTTCTTCATTTGCCTGCATATTTATTTTTTCAATCAAAACTGCTTCAAGAGTTTTAAGACCTAAATTTGGTCGAAATTCCGTTTGATTTTTTTTTTTAACAATAGAAAAAAATTCTTTCGCAAGCTGCATTTGAATGAGGTATTATTAAGACAGCAAGCATTACAGAAGGCAATACTTTGTATTTAATACACCCATTCATATTTTTTAATTTGGCAGTTTCTCCCCATGCTATATCAATACACTAATCTACAATTTCTTTCAAATCATCTACTTGATACATGGAAAATTCAATTTCTACTTGATTAAGACATTTTTCATCAATAATGGATGGAAAACTATTCATCAAGTAAAGAACAGATGAAAATGAGACTTCAGTTCTCAAGTTGATGTCAGCAACTTCAGCATGTTTTAGAAATGGATCACTCAGTGGAAATTTATGAATTATATATGAACATGCAGTTACAAAAAAAGCTCGCACAGAATTGAAAAATGATTTCACTTCACTTTCATTCAACTTGGCATTTTTTAAATATAGTCTTGTTTCCGCACCAATCACTAAATTTTCATTTTCTTTTTGTTTACTATACTTCTGAAATGGAATAGACGTTAGAGTAACATCTTCATTTTCTTTAGAAATTAGTGATGGTTTTACGAATCTAACAAATAAAATTCATTAAAAGTTCAAAAAGTTCTCTTCTCAATTTATGTATATAAGGAGCTTGTTGTTGCAAATTAATATTTACTGTTATAAACAAAGGCAAAGTATTTTTCAAAAATAACAAGTACAATTTGGTGGTCGGTGACTGTAAAATTTTTTTAATGTTTTGCAATCTCTTTCCTTCATTCTCACTGTTATCTGGTTTATCTCCAAAAAAATTTATCACATCCCACTGTTCCAAAATCCTTGTTATAGATTCTAAAAGAGATAACCATCTCGTACTGCAATATTTCAAAATTTTATGAGATTTTGCATTCTGTCCCAAAATTTGTTGAGCAACTTTGAAGCTATGCTTCCGTTTCGAACTTTTCTCCAAGTAAAAATATATAATCTATTATCAACATTTCAATTTCTGAGCCAGTTAATTTTTCAGTAGCTTTTTTTGCAGCTATATGCAAGAGGTGGCACGGACAACCTCGGGTGATTATACTTGGTTGATGCATTTTGATAAATGATGCTACACCTTTAAACTTTCCAATCATATTACTAGCATTATCTGAAGAAAATGATAAGCAATTTTTCCATTCTAAACCTTTGTTTTTAAAGTTTTCATTTATACAATTAAAAATACCTTCTCCTGTATTATTCGTGCATTCTAAAATAGAAATCAATGAAGTAATTATCACTCCCTTTTCTTTACTGTGGTATGTTATAACCAATGGGTACAGTTTGTTATCATTGTTATCATTACTTCCATCAGTACTTAGAGAAAATGATGTACTGCACACTGATTTTATAATATCAGCAACAGTATTTTCTGCAAGCGTTTTCACAATAGCAGCAGTTTTGGTATGACCGCAGCTAAATTTTTTTGCTATGGCAGAATCCGGAAACATTGCTTTGAAAAGCTCTTTGGAATGATCCGAAACAGAAAGCGGTAGATTATGTTCAATTAAAAAACAAACAAAATAGCATTTGGCTTTTATAGGATCTGTTTCATCATCTTTTATTAAGAAATTTGTTATTTCTTTAGATTTTACGGTGCCAAGTTCTATATGCTTTTGAGAAAACACATGCCGTTTACAGTCATCTTTTCCGCCATGAGCAACTGAGAAGTCTTTGTTGCATACACTGCAGTGTGCGTGATTCACAGAAATTTCGGACGCTTTAATGCATGGAAATTCTGAAGAATATGAATGTTTAAATTTCTGCATTGATAATTTTGCCTTCTTCGTTCGAGGCAGCATTATGATTAAAAATCTTTCACCTGATTCACAGTTCACAAGACACACGCTAAGCTCTTGCCGTAAACGACACAATGCAGCCGAATGCAGCCTAAACACGCATCAGCGAGGAACCTGGGAGACAGACAATTGGGTGGAACTATTGATAAGTCGTTAACGGTTGGAGTTACTGATCTACGATTGGCTAATTCTTCAAAACTAGGAATGCACTCAACACGTGATATATGATAACACGAGTATTCAGCCAAAGTTTTTTCCATACTTTTCGTAGCTCGTAGTTTTTCATGAATTTCCGTAGAAACTACGGAGAATCCGTAGTAGTTGGAGTCTATGGACTAAAGCTGATCAACAGTTAATAAATAATGGAAATGTCTGTAGGAAGTTCAAAATTGAGAATTGAGAGAATCTGAAGCTGTTCTAAAATGCTTTCAATATGTTAGACTAAAAAATTGCCTTGTTTCTCTGAGGCTGTGAAATTCCTGGGAGAGAAGATATTTTTTCCCAACTAAGGAAAGATATTTTTTCCTAACTGAGGAATGTTTGTAACATACATAAATAAATTGTTCTTTGGATAAATATTACCAGTTGAGAAATGAAGTTATCATTTTGCTGATAATTGGATACATGACTGATTTCATAGGTGACTAAAGGAATATAAGTTACATCAAATTTATAATGCAAGTAAAACCGTGTTTTACTAAGCTTTGAGAGAAAACACATATATTTCAAAATGAAATAGGAGTTTGCTGGTGTCCTTGCATCATAGTTAAAAGGAATACTTCTTTCTTTTTATCTTTAAATGCAACCAGATACATATTTTTTCTATACATCATATCTATATCATTTTGTCTGCTTGATTGTGATTGGAATGTTTTTGGCAGACCATTCCTCGTTTTCACATTTGTGTCATATTAATTCATTTTTATGTCATATAAATCTAATGCAATTGATGATGAAGTGAAAACCCTATCCAGGTGTAAGTTGTATCCTTTTCCCCAAAGGTCATTTATGAGAGTTTTCACTATGTTTTTCCCATATAGGCTGCCTCTCGCTGTAAGATTGGTATCTTTGCCTGTATATATTAAAATGTTCCAAACATAACGTGTATCAGATTCGCTTATTTTATGTATTTTTATACCATATCCAGATTATTTCGACAAAATGTATTATAGAAACTTAGCTTGGCACTCCACACCAAGAAAGATTCATCAACAGACATGTTTTGGTTTAATTTTAATTTTTTATACAACTGTCTCAGTAAATGGTTTCAGTTTGTCTAATTTTTTTAGCACTACTGGTGTAAAGTGAAGCTATTGTAGTATCTTCAAAAATCTTATCTCTTGACATCATTTTATTAAAAAAATGGAGTGACACTTATCTGATTAAGTACGTTTTTAGGTTTACGGGTTTATATATATATATATAATTATTATACCCATTAGCATAGCTAATCTTTAAGAAAAGTTCATTTCTTTATGTGACAAAGAATTGAAATGGAAATATGTGAATCTGATAATTCGCTGCTACTGGTATCGCTGCTACTCAGATGTTTTAGTAATAAAGCTGTATACTCAGCTTCCAAACACGAAGCGAAAAAAAAAAAAAAAAAAAGGACCACCTACTCTACATATAAAAAGAAGAAACTAAATATACTTCACAAAGAAATTAAGAGAATATTCATATTTGATCTACGATCTCCAGAACCACTTGACAGATTTTAATAAAATTAAGTGTGAACATAGGTTGATGTAAAAAAAATAAAATAAAATAAACAATCAACAGCTATAACAGACACACATGTTCATGTGTAACACTCATGAGAGTCTGAAGGTCTGAAACAGCGGTTGCCGAAGACACAAAAGAAATGGGCTAATAGGGAGTATGGCCTTACAGCATGATGTCATACTGGAAATAAGGCAGTTTATTAGTGCCTGTGGCAATTGGTCACACTCATTCAGCAGCACTGTTTTCAGTTCCTGGATGGTTCTTGGAGGGGGGTTGTGAGTTGCAGTTGCCCTCCCCAAAGCGTTCCAGACATGCTCTATGGGGTTAAAGTCTGGAGACCTGGCTGGCCAATCCATCCGGTGAATATCCTCACTCTTGTGAAAAATAGTTGACCAGAAGAGCTCTATGTGGCCTTGGGTTATCGTTTTGTAGGATGAACTCGGGTCCACTGCAACCCGGAAAAGGCGAACATAGGGCTCCAAGACCTCATCCCTATACCTCACACCAATTACAGAACTTCTGTCAAAGACGTGGAGAGTTGCAGTTGCCCTCCCCAGATAGGGTTAAGGTCTGGAGA